ATCCTTTCCATTGTTGAGAACATAGCATTTGCACCCAAATGTTCTTAAATGAGTCAGCTTGGGCTTCCTTCCATTCAGAAACTCATAGGGAGTTTTGTTCAAGAGAGACCTGATCATGCACCTGTTCACCAAGTAGCAGGCAGTGTTAACAGCTTCAGCCCAGAAGTTCTTCACTATCCCACTATCGATCAGCATTATCCTCGCCATTTCTTCAAGAGTTCTATTCTTCCTTTCCACAACTCCATTTTGCCGTGGAGTTCTAGGGGCAGAGAAGTTATGGGTAATGCCATTCTCGTTGCAAAAATCTTCAAACTTGGCATTGTCAAATTCTGTCCCATGATCTGATCTTATGCAGGCTACTTTAGAATCCATCTTCACTTGAATTTTCTTCACAAATGCCACAAAAACTTCAAAGGTTTCATCTTTTGTTCTGAGAAACAAGGTCCAAGTGAATCTGGAATAGTCATCTACTATCACAAAAATATATCTTTTTCCTCCTCTGCTTTGCACTCTCATAGGACCACATAGATCCATGTGAAGGAGATCACGTGGTTTTGAGGTGCTGGCATCCTTTTTTGGCTTAAATGAAGATTTCACATGCTTCCCTCTAGCGCAGGCATCACAAACTTTGTGCTCTATGAACTTTGATTTGGGCAGACCATGAAACAGGTCCTTCTGAACTAGCTTATTCAGTAGAGAAAAGCTTGCATGCCCCAATCTTCTGTGCCACAGTTCAGCATCATCATCAACAACTTTCAAGCAATTCAGATCACCACTTTGTAGGGATTCAAAATCAGCAACATAGATGTTCTTGTATCTTTTGGCCACCAGTACCACTTCACCCGTTACTAGATTAGTAACTGTGCATATTTTTAACAAGAACTCCACCTTGTTTCCTTTACCACATATTTGAGAAACACTCAAGAGACTGTGCTTGAGGCCATTGACGTAGTACACATTCTCAATTGAGTGAGTGAGAGATTTCCCAATTTTTCCAACTCCAAGAATGTACCCCTTTTTTCCATTGCCAAAGGATACACTCCCTCCTTGTAGGGCTTTTAGTGATAGAAAGTCCATGGTGTTCCCAGTCACGTGCTTTGAACATCCATTATCCATGAACCATTGTTGACTGCTTCCTTTCACTGTTCCCTGCACAAGGAAATCAAGAGTTAGTTTTAGGAACCCAAGCAAGTTTGGGTCCCTTGTAGTAGGCAAGAGGATGAATAAGAGCTCTTTTAGTCCATGCAGATAACAGGCGTTTTTTATGGGTGGCACCTGGTCCCTTTTCAGTAGTTACTTTTTCAGCAAATACTTTGTTTTTCTGAAGAGACTGAACTTTGGCTTGGCAATTTTCTTTGAAATGCCCATTTTTCCCACAGTGGGTACACAACCAATTATCCGGTACAGTAACATACTTGCTATGGGGGTTGTAAGGAGTTCTCTCCCTTTGAAACCCTATTTCCTGCCTGTTTCCACTATTATTAACATACATGGCAGTGATAGCTTCTGAGGACCAGGTCCACTTAAGGAACTTCTCAAGATCTTTTTTTACTCTTTCCAGTTCTGCTTGGAGGTGCCTATTTTTCTCAAGTTCAGCATACAAACTAGTTCTCACAGCATTTAACTCGTTTTCAAGCTTAATGTGTGCCTCACTAGCTACCTCTTTCCCTTTATCAGAATTTCCAGGCCTACACACAGCTCCAAGTTCCTCTATAGTTTCCCTCAAGTCTACAATCACTATTAAGAGGTCATCTCTCTCCTCCTCAACAACAGTCACTCTCTCCACTAGGGCATCCTTTCTTTATTTAAGTTTTCAATGGTTTCTTTCAAGTCAACTACTACTACCACCAGATCATCTCTTTCGTGTTCTACATTAGTGATTTTCTTAGTTAGAACCTTCTTCTCATTTTCTAGATCATCTATAGTTTCCTTCAAATCAACCCCACACACTACCAAATCATCTCTAGTTTGTTCAGCTTCTCCTAGTTCTAAGGTCAAGGCATCTTTATCCTCTACAAGACTATGATAGGCATCAATTAATTGGCTAATGACATGAGTTTCTTAGGAGAGTAGGATTTCAGATTTTTCTGTACATCTCTGAAGTTTACCTCATCATTATCATCATATTCATCATCGTCTGATTGAGCTATTAAAGAAAATATTGAATCATATTCATTTCCTTCACTTTCAACTGCCACCATGGAAATATCACCTTCATCAGTTTCTTCTTCAAACTCACTTGAGGAATCTCCCCATGCTGCAAGAGCTTGCTTCACAACGTTGTCAGCGGCATTCTTCCTTTTGAAGCATTTGACAGGAACCGGATTCCTTTTGGCTGCTTTATCAGGGTTGTACTTGAAGTGTTCTTGCTTCACGAGAGGGCAATCTTTGATGAAATTCCCTAGCTTTCCACACTTACGACAGATGTCATAATTCTTTGGTCTGCTAGTAGTGCCCCTCTTTGGTATCCCTTCATTTCTTCCGACATCTTCTGAAACCTTTTGGTTAAGTAAGCCATGTCATTGTCCTCCTCACTTGAGTCATTGCTTTCAGCTTTGAGTACCAGGTTCTTCTCCTTCTTTGGTTCTCTTCTTTCACTGTCTATCTTCCTCTTCATTTCATAGGTTTTCAGATTTCCAATTAGCTCATCTATGGTCAGCTCCTGCAAGTCCTTTGCTTCAGTAATAGCATTCACCTTACTTTCCCATGAACTGGGCAGGATACTAAGAATTTTCCTCACGAGCTTGTTCCTGGGAATGACTTCACCGAGCGAGTGCAACTCATTTATGATGGAAGTGAATCTTGTATGCATGTCTTGAATAAATTCATCATCCTTCATCCTGAAGAGCTCATAATCGGTGGTGATCATATCAATCTTAGATTGCTTTACTTGAGTGGTTCCCTCGTGTGCTGTTTGCAAAGCTTCCCATATTTCCTTGGCGGATTGACAAGCTGAGATCCTGTTGTATTCATCGAGTCCTATACCACACACCAAAATTTTCTTGGCACGAAAATTTTTCTCCATAGCTTTCCTGTCTGCATCGTTGTATTCCTTTCTGGTCGTTGGCATCGTCATTGGAGGATCTCCGACCTTCTTCGTTGGGACATAAGGACCATCACATATAACATCCCACAACTCAGAATCTTCTGCCATGATAAAGTCATGCATTCTTGTCTTCCACCACCCATAGTATTGCCCATTGAACTTGGGTGGTCTATACGTAGACTGACCTTCTTCAAAATTTGGTGGAGCGGCCATAAGGATCCTTCCTAGGTGTTAACCTGATAGAAGAACCCGCTCTAATACCAATTGATAGAATATATGAGTCCACCAAACTATATAGAGACCAGGTCCTTTATGAGTTTCCACTGAAAAGCTAATAAAACAGTAAGTAAATAAGACAGGGAGTTTTTACGTGGAAAAATCCCTGCTCAAGGGGATAAAAAAACCACGACCTACACTGGTAGGATTTCAGCTTCACTATAAGCAACTTTTAGATTACAACCTATGCAATCTAGGAATTAAACTCATAATCCCTCACTAACTTGTAATATACCTATTACAAGCCACTTTGCAATACACCTATTACAAAGACTTCAACTCATGACTAACTCTAGTCACGACACAAACACTAAGGGTTTATGGTTTTACAAGGGGTTCCTAAGCAACTTTCTAGATAAGCAAATTAGGAATTACAATGAAGAACAATTACAAAGTTTCAACTCAACTAAGGACAACAAAATATTAGATTTAGGAACTGGTCCGTAGTAGTGTTAAACTTTGTTCTTGATGCACTTGAGAATTGAATTCTTGATCAGTGAACGGTTGGAGTACTTGAATGCTCAGTTGATTCTCAAGTGTTCAAGTAATGTTTTGTTGTAATGCTCTTTGTTAATACAACATGGATGACATCACTTGAGTGATGTAATCACTTGGTAGGTCAAATGAGAAGTGACTGTAGAATGCGCTGCACTGTTTCTGTGTACAGTGCAGGCAGTCACTTTCCAGCTGTAGACAGTTGACTTCGTACTGCTGTCAGGGAAACACAAAGGTATCAGGTCCCTGTATTGATTCTCTATCTTCTGAAGTCGTAGCAGTTCTCATTAGCTGGAATCCGTTGATTTGAGTTGTGTACCAAATGAGTCAGGTTCCTTATCTAGTTCTTTGACAGTAAGTTTGTTAGATAATCTAAACACAAAGCTAAGGCATTGTAAACTCATCACAATATATTTTTACTTAGTTATACATTATAATTTTCTAACAAAAAGGTATCAGTTAATACCCCTTGAATACATGTGGCTCCACCATTGATTATATCTATGGTGTTGATCGAGTTAGCATATACATGACTCGTACGTACAGATTTCATTTTCAAACGCTTAGCTGAAGGAGTCAGAAGAAATGGTGAATGATCCACTTGGTTACTGACCACTCTAGTTTGTGGCCCGCCGATAAGTTTGACAAGTGGTTAACATAAAAGTTTCCGAAGAAAAAATGATATATACTCCTATCTAACAATTTTTTATTTTATTTGTGATAATAGGTTAGTAACTTCTTTTTACCGAATGATCTAATTGTTTATTTGACAATTAAACATAAAATTAAACTCTAATCTTTACGAGCACAATTTACATCGCGCTATCATTTGTTGGTGAAATTTTTAACATTTTTCAATTATTAGGAATAAGGTGCCATCTCTTCTTTACGGTAATTTACTTGTGCATAGTGATTACATCAGATCATATTAATTTATTATAATCAAGTTTAATTTGCGATAAAAATACATGTTAATTATATGTATATATGGTCAGACGACAAGTGCAAAACATCAACTTGTTGAATGATTTAGGTGCCTGTACTAATATTTGCTCAGACATTTGGTGCAAAAAGAATATCCGAGTGGGGGATATGGCAATGACACAAACCCAATGGCCAAGTAGTAAATCTAACCACTTATGGGTGTATATATATAAATATATACCAATAAAATAATCCCATTATCCAACCTTTAAATTTGGTTCTACTTCAACCCCACTTTGCTCTTTTCCTCTCCAAAAAAATACCAGACGCCATTACAACAATCTTCTTAGACCGCCATCCTCAATCAAACCCAGAAAAACAAAACTTACAAAAAGCACAAAAAACCTACACAAAAACACATCTCAAAGCTTCATAGAATAAAAAAAATTGACCTTTTGAGTGGAAAAAAAAAAAAAAAAGAAGTTTCATTTTTTCTGTTATGTAAATGCATCAGCAAAATCTTGAAGTTAAGATAGGTCAAGAACAACACTGTGACCTTCAAATCCCAATCCCAAAACAATCAACCCCATCAGAGAATTTTTCCAAAATTAATCTTCAAATCAAGATCCCATCACCAGATTCTTCAACCAATCAGATTCACTTTATAAATGAACCCTTTTGTCAGAATCAATCACCAAACAAAACCCTTTTGTCAACACCTCATAAAAGGCCTATAATGTCTCAAAGTTCCAATCTTTATCACTCTCCAACACATCAAACCCATTTTAAAGTTCCAATCTTGAAGTCAAACAATTCTTCAAAAAATCAGTCTTTTTTATGTCCTTGTTCTGTTTCTGTGTTATTAGCCACAAAAAGAATTACTCTTAAGCTGATTCATCACTCTTGTCATATTTCTTGGATTAGAGTTCATTTGAAGCTTTTTATTTTGCTTTCTTTGCCTTCACTTTACCTGTTGACTTCAACTCATTACTGGGGTTCTTTTCTTTACTTTCTTTTTATTATTACTGCTATAATACTAGCTTTTCTTGTGATTTCACTTTGTGTAACTCTCCCTTGTGTTCCTTCTATCCGTACATTTCTTGCTAGAACTTTGTCTATTAATCTTCATTCATCACCTACTGCCTCAAAGAATCGACCTTCAGTTGTTTGGTCAATAGGATCAAAGCCTAAACCAGAAAGGAAGCCGATTTCGGGGTGTTGGGTGCAAGTTTACAGCAATGGTGATGTTTATGAGGGTGAATTTCATAAAGGGAAATGTTCAGGAAGTGGGGTTTATTACTATCGTTTGAGTGGGAGGTATGAGGGTGATTGGATTGATGGGAAGTATGATGGATACGGGGTTGAAACATGGACGAAAGGGAGCCGGTATAGAGGGCAATATAGGCAAGGATTGAGACATGGAGTTGGGATGTATAGGTCTTATACAGGGGATTTGTATGCTGGGGAGTGGTGTAGTGGGCAGTGTCATGGTTCTGGAGTTCATACTTGTGAAGATGGAAGCAGTTATACCGGGGAGTTTAAGTGGGGTATCAAACATGGATTGGGTCATTACCATTTCAGGTATAACCACTTGAGCATTTGCAACTGTTTCTTTTCAGATATTTGTTATTAACTTGATGTTTTTTTGAGTTCCATGTCGAGCTTTTGTGTTTATGTGGATTTTCAATTGCTTAAGGCTTACCATTTTCGCTTGTTTATGTAACCATGATTGGCTCAATTAGTACAATTTTTTGTTGGGTTAGTTCCATATTTTTCGACATGTTTGCTTTCATAATTGGAAACGAGAATCGTCCTTCAATTATGTGCTAGTCTTAACTTCAGCATACTTGCTTACCAGTGTTATATACCAGCAATACTAAGAACGATGAGATTATCTCCATAATCCTTAAAGGAACCAATTCCCGCATACATTACGGATTATGATGCATTCAATTATTGACATTAAATGTGAGAACAAGCAAAGCGTAAAGATTAAGATTTTTAGTAATGCTGAATGTTTGAGAGAACTCATTTACCTATATTTTCCTTTATGTCCACTGAAAGACATTTTCAGTGAACCATATTCTTAGAAACGTGGTTCAACATTATTGTAATTTTACTTTTCATCATTCATGGATGAAATCGACCGTGGAAGTTTGAACATATTCCCAAGGATTATCTCTCTGCGTTTTGAAATGGCGAATGCATCTTTCCTTGTTTCAAAGTAAGTAAACGAAGTATAAGACTTTATCTAGATGTCCTTGAATGTTGTCACTGTTACTGAAATCATTCAACTCTGAGATTAGAGTAAGTTCTCCATTGGATTAGCTATACTTTTGAGGTGATTGGTGCTACCTATTTTGGATTATAGATATGATCTGCATATAGATCATATTTTAAGCTGAAAGGACCAGTCCAACCCCAACCTCTCTTACTTCATATAGTATTTTGTTCTGTTTTTTATTGAGCTGTGAGTTTACTTCTTTTTCTTTTTGTTGTAAGTTGTCCTTAACTTCTTTGGTTCATCATCTCTGGCTTCTTTGCCTCGTGGTTGACTCTCAGCTTGTACCATATTCATTTGCATATATTGAATCATGTGTCAATAACTGAGCATAATGAATATGACAGAGATATAAGGATATCAAATTGTTGTTTTGTGTTCTTTTAGACTTTAGACCCAAAAATTCGGAAGACAATGTCCAAAATCCGATGCAATATGAGTTTTTTTTTTGGTTTTGACATGCTTTGCGCTCTATCCTCATATCCATTACGTCAAACATGGAGTAAGACAGTTATTGTTATCTTGACCATATTGCTTTTATATCAGCTGTATGAAAGACTGCTGAGGGTTTAACTTACATATGATACAGGAATGAGAAAGCTTGTTGTTTTCTTTTTTATCGTTAAAAGCTTGTTTTTTTCTTATGCTGAACGCCCCTGAATGCAATTACTTCTATTTCCCTAAATGCATGTTCTGCTGCAGCGTGGTTTCATTTTTCTTTCTTCAGTACCACGTCATGTATCAGTGAGTGATACGTAATTGTTTTGCTAAACAAAAAACAATAAGCTATCAATTACTCGTGTACTCTGTCTGTCATACACTTATATTTCTTTTTGCTTTCTCTGTTCTCTTTCTTGGGGTGATATTGGGTGCATGTGTATTTACTCACCAGTTTGTTGATTTGTATGACTATGCAGAAATGGGGATGCATATGCTGGAGAGTATTTTGCGGATAAGATGCATGGTTTTGGAGTATACCATTTTGGAAATGGACATCGCTATGAAGGAGCGTGGCATGAGGGTAAGAGGCAAGGATTTGGCATTTACACTTTCAGAACTGGGGAAACTCAGTCTGGTCACTGGCAGAATGGGGTTCTTAATGTTTCAACTAGTCTTGCCGCCCTCCCTCGATCTCCTTCTGCAGTCGACCATTCTAAAGTGCTTCATGCAGTCCAGGTAATAATTTAGTTTCCTGATATCCTCATTTGGTTGTGCACTCAGTATTAACATTTTGGATGAAGAGAGTAGTTTTTATAGATGTTTCTTTCTGATTTTCGAGAAAACCAAGCTGCAAACCTTATTCCTCTTTCTTAAAAAGGAAAATATGGATAACCTAGTGGTAATTATCGCTACCTCAATGTGCTCATAAGTTTTCTTTGTTGTTATTAGGAAGCGAGACAAGCTTCTGAGAAAGCTATCAATGTGACGAAGGTGGATGAAAGAGTAAAACGAGCAGTTACAGCCGCCAACAAGTCCGCCACTGCAGCAAGAGTAGCAGCTGTGAAAGCTGTCCAAAACCAAATACATCACAACGGAGATAGTTGCCATTCACCACTAGCAGTTGTGTAAACCCTTCGGTTGGCAGAAGCTATGACTTTCCACTCTCCCATCAGTCTTATTTTTAGATACTGAGACTGAAACTTCCGGGGACTTACTTGGAACCACAACAGGCAACTAGCTGATTGAGGAGCAAGTTTATCGTCCCCTTCGTTAGGCTTTAATAATATGCATATATAGTGGCCCCTCGTATAGGAGCTAAGAGAGCAAAAACCTCCAGATGTAAGTAGGTGTTTTATCTTTCCTTATTTTGTTGCTCTCTAGTAAAATGTAGATAGTTTCCTGCGTTTTGTGTTTGCCATAATAGAATGGCCAAGTTACTGCATGTTTACTAAGCATATATCCCAAAGGGATCACCAATGTAATGTTGTATAAAGTAATATCTAAACATATGCTGTATTAACGAATGACTTTATAAATGTCTCATCAAAAGCATATACTGAATTTTTAAGTCAATAGGTGTGAAGTATCATTCCACCTACTCTTTTCAGATAATCGCGCAAGAATATGAGTGAGACAAGATACAAGTGAGTAAATGTGTAAATGAATGTGATGATATGAATTGCCTATAGGGGCCGGCAAACTTGCGTACCAAACGAAACACTTAGGTGCGCTATGAAATCTTTTATTTTATGCCTCACACTGCTGACGCTAGTTGAGTGAGGTTCTTTTTTGTAGATCCAAAAGTGTAAGATATGGATCCACAAATTGTAAGATAAGGCAACTGGCCATTTCCTGAGTCCTTATTTTTAAATATTGGTGGGGGAAGAGGAAAATAGCTTCAGAAAATAGAGCGCACCCAGCTGCTAAAGTATCAGGAAATACGAAGATTTATGAGGCAAGAAACCAACACAGCCCAATTACAGCTAGGGGTGTACATGGACCGGGTTGGTTCGGTTTTTACCAAAACCAAACCAAACCAACTATATCGGTTTGGATTGGTTTGGTTTGGTCGGGTTTTTCGGGTTTTTTTATTACATGAATATTATTTCAATCTTACTTTGTTAAAATTATAGATAAAACTTTGATAAGTAAATATATGTTTAGTAAATATGGAAAAAAATTGACAAACATATGATCTATTAAAATATTCTATTGGGAGAATTTTTTTAGTAACACATGATAGTTATTTTCTTAGTCGTCTAACAATATTTTTTCGTTAATTTACGCTTCCAGGGTTAATACATGAGAGGATCTCAAATATTTCTACATTTTCTAAAGAAAAATCACTATGAACTCTTAAAAATATAAATAAAATTTATATATTTATATGTCGGTTTGGTTCGGGTTTTATAACTCAATACCAAACCAAGTCAAACCAAACCTAGTCGGGTTTTTTAATCGGTTTGGTTTGATTTTTCGGTTTGGTGCGGTTTTCCGGTTCGGTTTGAACACCCCTAAATTTACAGCACCGTGACATAAAAATTTGTTAAGTTAGACTTCCTTTTACCCCTATCCGTGGAGATTATAGGAAATAAGAAAAGCTACTCGTCTTGTATTCTATTATTGTTAGATTTCTATTACTACACGATGGTCTGCGTGCATGCTACTCTTCCCAAACCCTACTTGTGGAATTATACTCAAACCACTACCTGAACCCTACATGATAGGTCAACTAGTGACATCTAGACCACTAAACTGTCAACTTGGCGAAATTTGTGGGTATGGAACCTAGAAATGTTGATTCTCTTACTGATTATTCATTTTCAAAACACGAGGGTACTACATCAAATCTCAACCAGCATCTACGCCTTTCACTTTAATCAAATTTCAAAATTATTAAAGTAAAACCAACAACCTGAGTATCATAATGGAAATTTCGAGTCCAAACTAAATCGAAACCTTTAAGAAATAATGCCAACATAATGCGACAGTGAATATAATTGTCTTTGAATAAACTGAAATTCTCAAGTATACTAGTGGCTAATCGAGCTGGTTCAACATCATAAAGTACTCAAAATTGAAAAACAAGTCTGATCTCAGAACACAAGTAGACACATCATAAGCTGCACCAAAAGCAGATGATTGCTCTAACTCTCAGTCTGCTCCCTCAGTCTTCGAATTGTACTCCTAACTGTAACCGCACTTGCAGTGCTATTAAAAAAGAAAATCGGGATTAGTTATTCAGACACAAAAAAGGAAAACAACAGAAGTTGAGAGAGTAATTACTCACTTCAATGTGTAAGCACCACCAGCTTTGACTTTGCCGCAATCTTTGCAGCCCCAAATTCCCACTGCTTTCCTTTTTACTGCATACTGCTCAACAAGTATAGGATGAGAATCATAAACTTAACAACTATTTAAAGTAGACCAGGAATCCAAACTTGCAGCTAAGAAAACTATCATATTGCATGGAGCTTCCAGTTTATTAAGTGTACCGAACCATACCTTTCCACAGAACTCGCAGAAGTACTTGCTATGCTGGCTAACCTCCATCTTCTTAATCTGCTTACGCAGACTGGCACCATAACGGGTACCTATGCATAGAAGGAAAGAGAATCAGGAATATAAATTTGTCAGACAATAAGAAAACAGTAATTTAACTGCAACGGATGAAAAGGGCAATATAAATCATCCAATACAAAAATCAGAGATAATTGCCTTGGATGAAAACCATGATATATACTAATAAAAAAAACAGTAAAAAGGTATCCAAGGAGAGAATACTGCTAGCAGAAGCAACTTTAGAAAAACAACTGACTCCAGCTCATGAGCATAGTGTTGTGGACAAAATTTCAATTTTATGAGGGTGTCAGGTCAACAAAAACCACCAAAACCTCAATTAACATCCAGCCTGACCCACATAACCCACTTCAGACATACAGACATCTACCAAGGCATAACGTCGAATGTGATTGATTGTAGTAACAAGTAGCACCAGCTTAGGGATATTATCATCCATTGACTAAAACTACTATCTTAGTGTTGATGACATGGCCTGATCCGAAACATCTCAGGGAGAATTCAATCAGGCACTGCATGGATCTTCTAGATTATGTCGGAGTATCAAACTTCACCCTTTTGGGCAGAGGTAGGAGATATAAGTTAGTAAGTTAGGGCTTGATGTCCATATACAAATACAACACCCAATATTCCTCTATATATATACTATTGCAAAGTATAAAAACTGCAGAATCACCCAGGTCTTTCCACTCCATTATCTCCTATTTTATCGTTTTTTAATTAAGCTTGAAAAGGGTCTTTTACACTATTCCACTTTATTTTTTCTTTGATCTATACTTATTACTTACATTGAAAAATTAAAAAAATTACTTAAAAACAAGAACCCACAGTGTGCAGTAGAACTTCTAATAAGATAATGGAAGTATTGGACTGATGAAATCCAGGCTGACTCGCCAATGTAGCAAGAATCAAATATAAAAAAATATAGATTGAAGCAAAATCCTACTCAAGCAAGTGAAATTGGGAAAATCAAACCACATCATCAAATGTAGTTATTGAAGTTACAAATAAGAGCCTTAGGGGTCGTTTGGTTGGAATACGATTTATACCGGTACAAGTTATGCCGGTATAAGTTATATTGGGATAAGTTATGCTAGGATTGTTGTTTATTCATTGTTTGGTATGTTGTATTAAGAATGATAATTGCATAATTTCTAAGAAGAAGGTATAAGTTATACCGGTGCTAATTACTCCTCCTTCTATAAGGTATAAGTTATCCCAGTGTTAAAATTAACACCGGAATAACTTATACCTAATTTGCTAACCAAACAGAGTATTAAGGTGGTATTAAATTTTTATACCACCCTTATACCTTCTTATACCTCATACCAAACGACCCCTTATGGTAATACAAAATCAAATAATATCCTTATTAATGCAAAATGTAAAATGTGTTAAAAAGGAGCTATAATACTTACCATACTTTCCAACTATTCCAGCCTTCTTGGTCCTCTTAGTCTGCGGCAAAAAGAACATATTACACATTAAAACTCAACACAACTTCTGCTAAAGTTCAGGTGCACATAGTGGTATCTACACCCTCTCATCTCATTAGCAACAGGTTTCCCTAGTTAAAGTAGACTAAACAAGTCTACCTTTTCACACTAAAAACAAATCCACCTCGACCCAAATATGGCAATTCAAACCTACACAACCAGAAGATTAACCTCTAATAATGGATATTATTGTAAAACATATTGGCTGAAATAAGCAAGACGAAAATTCTACACTCTAAAATGAATCTTATCTCTTGTTCAAACTAGTGTTTTCAATTGCTATTATCACAATACATTTTTCCGAGTATTCAATGAAACAAGCCATTGAGCTATATAATAGCATTTGTTTTTAAGGTTAAAATAATATTAGCACTTCCAAAAAAATCATTGACAATAGCCATTTCACAAAAAGATGCAATCTTTAGCATTCTCCAATAACATTAATAAACCTAATGAAGTGTTCATCTAATTTATCGACTCTGTCATCATCAATAAAAAATAAACGAAAAAAAATCGGAAACAGCTTGAATGAGCTAAAAAATTACAGCTCTTTTGACACTTTAAATATATGATTATCTATACAAACGATTATGTATTTCAATTTAAAATTATATTTGACAAGTGAAGTATAACGCAGATGAGGAAAAAAAGGATACCATTTTGACTGTTGATGGAAATTTTGCAGCGGCTGCTGATGAAGGGTGCTAGGGCAAGAAAGATTGGCGTTCTTCTAGTCCTTGCGATTTTGTAGTGTCAAAAAAGTTGCCTTGGACAAGATTCGGCCCATTGTCTGTGATGTTCGGATTGACCCGAATACTATACCGGGTTGGGTCTATGGTCACTTTTTACTCTCAAAACTTGTATGGAAAACCCTAATTATGACCATAGAAGACAATTTTGTAAATTGCATCACTTTTTGAAATTTTACATTTCCATGAAAGGGAATAAATGGAGTTAAGTCTTGGGCGAACAAGGTTTTTAAGACCATAATAAAAAAATGCATACACCTCTATGTAAAAATGCATGTTAGATATTTATCTAGTATTAGGGGTAAAGTCTGCGTACATACTATCCTTTCCAAATCACACTTGTCTATTTTCACTGAGTTTTTTGTTGTGTTACAGTATGTGGATAGGTTTTTCCATAATCTAACCTGTCTATAAAAGTACTATAGCACATGACGTATGACTAGAATCGGAGCAACTTTTTAAAACTTACCTATCAAATGTTTTCGATTATTATTTGTATATATTTTTAGTAGCGAGTTAAATTGTTAAATACAAACTATGATTAGAATTGAGCAAATTATTGAAACTTACCTATCAAGAATTTTGGATTATTAATTGTACATGTTTTTACTAACGACTTAAATTGTTAAATACAAAATCTTTTAGAAATAAAAAGGTTTTATATCACATAGTTTATTCTATAAATAATATATAATGCGACAA